ATGTGTGGTGTGTAGTGTATAGTGGACTGTGTGTATTTGTGTGTGGTGTATGGTATGGAGTGTGGGTGTAAGTGGTGTGATGTATGTGTGCGTATGGGGTGTGTGTATATGTGTGGGTAGTGTGTCATAGGGTGTGTGTGTGTGTGTGTGTGTGCTAGGGCACACATAGGGCCCTACAGAAGCCAGAGGGATCAGATCTCCCTGGAGCTGGAAGTACAGGCAGTTTTGAGCTGACCTGGACACTGGGACCTGAACTCCTCTCCAGTTCCCCAGGGCTTTATTTTCTAAAAAAATTCATTGGTTTTTTTGTTTGTTTTTCAACATGGCAGTACACATGGTAGCAGAGAGGAGACAGATCTCTGTGAATCTGAGGCTAAGCCTGGTCTACACAGCCAGTTCCAAGGCAGCCAGAGCTATGTAATGAGACATAACATTGTATGCACATATATGTTTGTGTATTTATGTGTGTGGGCACAGGTATTCACGGCACTCACATGGAGGTGGGGAGCACAAATTATGGGGGTCAGGTCTCTCCTGACACATGGACTCCAGGAATCAAATTCTCACACCTCAGAGGAGAGCTTCGGATTCCCTGAAACTCAAGCTATAGACAGCTGTGAACTGCCATGTGTGAGCTGGGACTTGAACCCAGGTCCTGGAAGAGTAGCTCAGTTCTTAGTCTCTGAGCCATCTCCCCAGGCCCATAACTTCAGTTTTATTTTTTTTATAAGATTTATTTATTATATATGAATACACTGTAGCTGTCTTCAGACACACCAGAAGAGGGCATTAGATCTCATTACGGATGGTTGTGACCACCACGTGGTTGCTGGGATTTGAACTCAGGACCTCTGGAAGTACAGTCAGTGCTCTTAACCACTGAGCCATCTCTCCAGCCCGTAACTTCAGTTTTAATCCAGTGTGGAACACCTCTTGGAAGTTATCCCTGAGTTGATGATCATACCAGAAATGGATGAAAGTTTAAAGAGGGCCCTGGATCACCCCTCCAGGCTATGGGTAAGCTCCATGCCAGCTGGGACCCAGAGGTCTTCAGAAACAGGGTCAGGAAAGTGCACTGAGAGGTGGGCAGGACCAGCTCTGCTCTCCTTCCCAGCCACCATCTCTGGACTGCCAAGTAGCTCTTCTGACTGGATGACAAGGTGAGGTTTTCTTGTTGTTGTGATTATTTTATGTTTTCTTTTACCTTATTGTGTGGGTTTGAGTATTCCTCCTGTGTGAATGTAAGCATTATCACATGTGTAGTACCCATGGAATCAGAAGAGGGCATCAGACGCCTTGGAACTGGCCTTAGAGATGGTTGTGAGCCATCATGTGAGTGCTGGGAATCGAACCTGGGGCTCTTCGCAAGAGAGAGAAATGTTCTTAACCACTGAGATGTCTCTCCAGCCTTTGTTACAAGGTATTTAAGAGACAGATGTTGAGAGATGCTCCACCATTAAAGTCTGTACAAATATTCCAAAACCTGGAAGACTCAAGTCTTAAACACTTCTGGTCACAAGCATTTGAGCCAAGGAATCCTTAACTTGGATAAACAGGTTTGGCTAGTTTTCAACCTTCTGGGTTCTGTGCTGTGTACGCAGACCTCTGATGTTTAGAGCAGTGCTAACAGACTGTGTTTACTCAGACCAGTTCTTTTTCTTGCTCACTGGCTGATAAGGAACGAAAGTGGCAGCCTGCCTTCCTTTCCTTCACTCCTCCCTCCTCCCACCTGTCCTTCCTTCTGTCCCTCCTTTCTCAATCCCATGTTGACCAGGCTGGTCTCGAACTCATGGGCTCAACATATTTTCCCATCTCAACTACCCTAAAATCTGAAATCTGAGAATCATATTCTCTCTCTCTCTCTCTCTCTCTCTCTCTCTCTCTCTCTCTCTCACACACACACACACACACACACACACACACACCTCTTATGAATATTCTTGTTGCACCGACAACAAGCTAGCTGTATGCAATGTATCAGAATGGAATGAAGAAACTCTATGACCTTCTTATTTTCTGCCTTCATCCCTAGCTCTACCCTGTAACTAATTTTCTGATTTTCCCAAGGGATCAGACAACTCATCCGTGAAAATATATACTTCTACAGATTACAATTCTATTTCCAATATGACTTGATAGTCCATTTTCCTCATGAAATATTTATATAATTATTCCTTCAACTTCATCAAAATCTTCCAAGGTGGCAGCTTTTCCTTCTGTTCTTAAAGTTAAGCACAGACTGTCTCCTTGAAGGGCTATAAAATGAAGAGGGTGATTTCAACTGTATTCCTGAAATACCAGCTGGCTTCCACATGGCCAGTGGTGATGCACCTCAGAAGGTGCAGGCAGGAAAACAAGGACCGGAGCATGGCTCCTGCTTTCCTTCTGAGGAACCTGCAAGCGCCAGCTCAGAACCTGAGTCTGTCTTCTCCTCCTCGGGACCTTCTGAGCCTGAGACAAGAGCCTCACCTAAAGGTATTCAAGTATCTTTAAAGTTCTGTTTACTGGACTGGAGAGAGGGCTCAACAGTGCAAAGTGCCTTTGCTCTTAAGAACACCAAAGTTTGGTTCCTAGCACCCACTCAGTCCCCAATTCACAACCACCTGTAATTGCAGCACAAGGAGATTAGATATGTTTGGTCAATCATGGATGAACACACACACACACACACACACTGTGGTGATTTGTATGTGCTTGGCCCAGGGAGTGGCACTATTTGGAGGTGTGGCCTTATTGGAGTAGGTGTGTCAGTGTGGGTGTGGGCTTTAAGACCTTCATCCTAGCTGCCTGGAATCCAATATTCTCTTAGCAGCCTTCAGATGAAGATGTAGAATTCTCAGTTCCTCCTACACCATGCCTGCCTGGATGCTGCCATACTCCCATCTTGATGATAATGGACTGAATCTCTGAACCTGTAAGGCAGCCCCAATTATCTGTTGTCCTCATAAGAGTTGCCTTGGTCATGGTGTCTGTTCACAGCAGTAAAACTCTACGACACACACACATTTAAAAGTTAACTTTTTAAAAAAATCTGCTTATTCATTGAAGAAATGTTTACAATCATTAAATATAGCTAAGTTTCCCTATAGCATTTAATCTGTATACTATAGAGCTGGCGAGATGGCTCAGAGGGAAGAGGACTGCCTGCTCTTCCAGGGGACCCAGGCTCAACTCTCAGCCCTGACACATCAGCTTACAAACACCTGTAGATACAGCTACAGGGGATCCATCATCCCCTTCTAGACTCCTCAGGCACTGTGTGCATGTGGTACACAGACACCTGTACACATAAAATAAATAAAAACTTATAAACGATTATAGTCTTTCCCTTGTTTTCTGCCCTTGTGTGAGTCAAGCTTCTCCTACAGTATTGCACAGGAAATGATGTGAAGTCTTGTGCTGTTCCTAACCTCAAAAGAAAAGGCTGTACTGGATCACTGTTGAACACACTGGGTTTTTTACACATATTTAAATACATGCTTAATTCAAAGATTTCCCCTCCTTTCAAAATTTGCTATTGTTTTTTTATTGTGGGAAGAAGTTACTGAGATGGGCAGAATGTTACTAGACTCGGTTGCCACTGTGTTTTTAGGAGTGTTGCCTGTGTCGTGAGGGACAACTGTGTAACTCCAGCTTTGTGAGGATACACTGCCCTCACAGGAGGACATGCTGTCTGCACAGGAGGAGCTGGGAACGGCTCCTCAGGCCCTTTCTCTAGAGAATTTGAGTTTTATTGTCTCCTTATGCATCTGCAGACTTCGATGGCTGAACCAGTGTGCCTAATATTTTCTTATTTTCTTAGACAGAGGAAGTGGTGGGTTTGACTGAATTGTCTAGGACTCCTAAGGGTTTCTACCTCTTAAAAAGATTCTCTAAGAATCTGCTTTTACTTCACTAGGGAGCTGTCTGCACTTTGGGTGTTATTCCTTGGTGAGACCTGCATTGTTTTTCTGAACTCTCTGTTTTCTTTTTGTTTGTTTGTCCCTCCTCCCTCCCCCCAGTAGACTTGGCCTGCCCAGAGGAACTCCTTCTATAAACCAGGGTGGTCTAAAATTCAGAGATCCACCTGCTTCTGCCTCCTGAGTGCCGGGATTAAAAGTGTGTCCACAACACCTGAATGAATTTTTAAAAAACTATTCTTCATCTTTTACTTGTATGGCTGTTTGGCCTGCATGGATGTCTGTGTGCCGTGTGCATAGAATACCCACAGACACCAGAAAAGGGCATCAGCCCCCTGACACTGGAATCCAGTGAGCCACCATGTAGGTTCTGGGAACTAAAGCCAGGTCTTCTGCAAGAACAGCCAGGGCTTTTAAGTGCTCGCCACCCCTCCCCCACCCCCCTTTTATTAGTATTCTTGCAGTGCTGGGGATTGAACACAGTGCTGGGGATTGAGCATCAAGTAAAGCACTCTCCCACTAAGCCACATCCCCAGACAGTGCTGTCGTTTCTACTAGTCTTTGTGATTTTTTTGTTCCCTAAATCTGATAGTTGATATTTTCCATCTCTTCTGGAAATAGCTGTCTCTTCAGTACAGCTCCTTCCATAGTTCCTCCGGCATCGCTGCTGGACCTAGGGTTCAGCTCCACTGGGCCAGCATTGTGTCTGTGATGCTCACATCCGACCGTCTCTGGCCTCTCTGGCTCACGCATTCCATCTTCTGGTATGCCTAATCCAACCCCTTGTTGTAATCTACTTCTATCTAGTATATTTTCTTATTTATCACCCTCATTTTATCAAACAACCTTGATTTGTTCTCGTGCCTTTTTATCCTTACTCGTCATTTGAAAGCTGTTTCAAAAATAATTTTTAAGGGCTGGAGAGAAGGCTCAGCAGTTAAGAGCACTGGCTGCTCTTCCAGAGATTCTGAGTTCAATTCCCAGCACCCACATGGTAGCTCACAACCATCTATAATGGGTTCTGATGTCCTCTTCTGTCAGGTAGGCATACATACAAATAGAGGGCTCATATGCATAAATAAATAAATCTTAAAAAAATAATTTTAAAGAAAGAAAACAAGCTTATTTTATTTAAGACCCTGCAAAGAGAGCACCAGGCAGGAGGACCATGAGTCAGAAGAAGTAAATGACCACGGGCTGAAGCCTCATGGTTGAGTGTGCTCCACCTGCTGCTGCTGTCTGTCTGACCATCTCCGTCATCAGAATTCACGGTTCAGGCTCTGCATGATGGTGTCACTTTTATAAAGAAAGAAGTGCCAGGCATCTCATGTCAGGGACCACCATCTTTACCAGATACCAACTTCACTGCTTATCATAATGCAGAACCAAAAAAAAAGAAAGCTGTCATTTCCTGTTTGGATTTTTATCTAATGACTATAAAAAAAAATTTTATTCTTCATCCACATAGTTCACCCAGTATCGACTTGCTGTCTTGGCCTCCTACAGTGAAAGAAAGAAAAAAAAATAACAGATATTTACACAAACTCTTTCGTTGTTCTCAACAATATACTCTGAGGGTTGCACTGTGTGCTAACTTTGCTAATACACACTCACCCAGAGTTATTGGCTCCAACTCACCCAGGGAGTTGAAAGCCATTAGAGAGCTATTCATTCCTCTCTGGTGCCTATCATTAGCTCAACATCTCCCATACTTCATCTCTTGGTTGCTGGCCCATCTAATCTGTAGCCCGGAAATCCTCAGAAATCTCACACTTGCTGGCATCCTGCTCTGCCCACCTCCCGGTCCTCCACCATCTCCTGCTCTCATCTGTCCTTTGATCTCAGGGAGAGCTACAGTCTCCACCCAGCACAGGCAGAGAGAAAACAGGAACCTACCACCACAGGATGGGTCCGGATCATGTGTGCAAGGGTCAGAGGTGCTGTAAGCCTGGGGCCTGGGGTCACCCCGGCAGGAGCAAGTGTACCCCTCTTATGTTCTGAAAGCTTGCTCCTAAAGCAAAGAGAGGAGAAATTCTCTTATAGATGACATTCAGACTGGTTTTTTTTTGTACACAAACTCAAAATCCTGTTAACAACCAGTGCAGACATCTTTCCTGAAAAATAAAGGGTTTTTCCCCCATTTTATTCATCTTTATAACATTAACTTTTTGGGATCACAGACTTGCTCAATGTAGTTAAAAAAAAAAACAATTTAATGTGTATGACTGCTTTGCCTGCATTATGTCTTTGAACCTCATGCATGCAGTGCCCATGGAAGCCAGAAGAGGGCACTGGATCCCCTGAAACTGGAGTAGTAAGCAGTTGTGAGCTGCCATGTGGGTGTAGGGAATTGAACCTGGGTCCTCTCTAAGAGTAGCCAGTGGATGCTCTTAACTGTGGAGCCATCTCTCCACCCCTGTCAATACCATAATTAAAAAATAATCAATAGAGTCCTCTCTCCAAGACAATAGTATCCACATTCAAATGTGGTATGCTTTAAGGAGGTTCTCATCTCCTCAAAGCTATGAGACTTAACCATCTCACTCCCAGAATGGTTCCTCTTTGACTGGGCTCTGAACATTGCTCTCCTGGTGTGTCTGCCACAGAGCAGATCAGCCATGGGCTCTCTAACTTCTTTTTAAATAACTTGAACCCACAAGGATATTTTAGTGCAAACTGGAATTGACCATGAACGAAATCACAATAACCCTAACCCTAACAAATTCAGTAAAGTTCGGCTTGGCATTCTGTACACAACAGCACCACCTTGGAGATGGTTTGAGAGACAAAGATGCTAAGACAGTGCCTGCTTCTAAACCCTTCTTCCAATCCTTATCAAAGGTCCTTATCAGAGAAATAGAAGCAAATGTCAAATAACAAGGGCATGTGTGTGCAAGTGTGAGTATAGATGTCTGTGTGTAAAAGAGTGTGTGCATGTGTGTATCTCTGTGTGTGCGCGTGTGAAGGCATATATCTATGTGTGTCTCTGTGTGTCCCCGCATGTGTTTCTGTGTGAGTTTCTGTATGTTTCTGCATGTGTTTGGGACTCTATGTATGTATGTGTATGTGTCTGTGTATGTCTGCATGTGTGTATCTGTATGTGCATGTGTGTGTGTGTGTGTAAATATCAGCTGTCCTGAAACTTGCATGAAAATCCAAAGAAATGAGAGATTTTCCCCTCAGTTATGTTGGCTTAAACTTGAAGTCACTTTGTGTAGGTGGCCCCTGGGGATCTCCTAGAGAAGTACCACAGGATGGTTCCTAACAAAGTCAGGCAGCTGAGTCCAATTACTCTGACCCTGCCTGTGCACAGCCATGGTGCTGCAAAGGAGCCCACAAGAATGGCATCTATGTCACTATGGAGACCAGAAATCATAGAGGCTCTAGAATAGACAGGAACACTGGTCCTCACCCATCAGCACCTGCACGGTGCCAGGGCCTTGGCAGCACTCGAGACTCTCCTGTGTTGCCTGAAATAATCTGACCAGAAAGTTGCGTTGATTTATGTTTTTAGATTTATTTTATGTATATGAATGTTTTCCCACCAGGTATGTGTGCCACGTGCATGCTTAGTGTCCTCAGAGGTCAAAAGAGGGCATCTGGTCCTCTAGAACTGGAGTTATGGATAATTTTGAGTGTTGGAAGTTGAATTTGGTTCATCTGCAAGAATGAGGGCTCTTAACCCCTGAGCTATCTCTCCAGCCCTGGCAAGCTGGCCCTTAAGGATAAGAAGGTGTGTGATAGCTTCATTCTTAGTCACAAGGCACTTTGCTGAAATGCCAGTTCTCCTCATTGCACTCATTCTAGAAAGGATTCCAGACAGAAAAACAGACGTTTATTACTAAAGTAACACAGGACTGGAGGGAGTGCTCTACTGGAAGGCTTTACCAAGCCTCACTAAGCTGGAGTGCAGCCAAAGTGTCGGTCCACAAACCACCCTGCAGGTTATCAGAGGGCATTGGGGGTCAGGCTGAAGCTGGACAGGAAGTGTCTGCTCAGAGAGCACTCGCAATGAATGACCCTATACCTGAGGGTCCCTGTGATTTGCTGTCTTACACAAGTGTCCACACCTAGGGAGGATCCAACAGGACAAGCAGAGAGTTGGGTCTAGCCTGGTATGACCAGTGAGGACTAATAGCCTGCAGCCCTCCGCTTCTCCCATATGAGATTACTGGTCAGGAGGGTGAGGAACTAGGTATGGACTAGATACCAGTGGCAACTGATACATAAATGGGCAGGACATTAAAAGGGCGGGTGTCACAGACAAATGTGATGGAGGACATCTTGTTCACATCACTGAACTGAGTCCTCCAACAGCCCAAGGTGCAGGTGTCATCATGTATACGGTATATAAGGTGATGAAACACACTGAGCTTCTTTGAGATTGAAAAAGGAAGCAGAGTTAAGTCCACCTGTGTCAACATGCAACACCAACCATGCCTCACAGTGGGGACCAGAGTGGAGGTGTAGAGAAGAGAAACTGCAGGCGTGGGGTATATAGCTCAGTTGGTATAGCATTTGCCTGATAATGAAAAGATCCTAGATTCAACCCCAGCACTGTAATAATTAAAATTAATCAATCAATTAATCAATAGTTGATTAATAATTAGTTTTTTTTCCCAAGATGGGGTTTCTCTGTGTCACTCTGACTGTCCTGGAACTCACTCTCAAGACCGGGCTGGCCTAGATAAAACTGAAAGAATCTCATTGGGTGTCTCTCATAAGGTGGGAGTAGCAGGCAGGAGATAGCAGGTCACACTTTAACTCAGAGATGAAAGCCTGTTGTGGAGTTTGGAGGCAGCAGAGATAGGCACCTGCCCAACCCAGGGCCCCTGGGAAGGACAGTGGAGAAAGTGTTCTGAGGCTGGCAGAGGCCCAAAGTGGGAGGGAACCTGGGGGTGAAATCCGAATTACCCACTTCTCACTTCTCCCCTACCTCAAATTCTTCTATCTCCCATGGTAAAGTTCTGTTGGTAGTTCTGTTGTTTACTTGTTAGCTTTTACAAGCTTCTTATTTCTGACTTATTTTTTACATTTATTTAGTTCTTGTGTATGTGCTCTGCCTACATGTATGTGCATATGTGTATGCATGCCTGCATGGGTGCATGTGTACATATGTATGTGCATGTGTGTGTGTGCATGTGCATGTATATGTGTGTGTGCATGTGTATGTGTGTGCTTGTATGTACATGCCTGTGTGTACGCATGCCAGCATGTGTGTCCATGTGTATGTATACATGTATGTCCATGCATACTTATGTGTGCGTGTGTAAGTGTGTTTATGTGTAGACACATATGTGTGAACATACTTCTGTGTGTGTGTACACATTCCTGTGTGTACAAGGACATGTGGAAGTCAAAGGGTGATTGTGGGAGTTGGTTCCCTTCTCCTACCATGTGGGTCCCACAGATCTCAGATCATCAGACCTGCAATAAGCCCTTCTACCCACTGAGCCATCTCCCTGGGCCTATTCTCATTGCTTGGTGACTCACGTGCCACACAGGTGTCTTCCTGTCTTCAGGTGAGGACTTCTCTGTGGACTTCTTGGGCTCTGGCACTTCAGAAATTGGAGGGCAGGTCCTGCTCGAGGCTGCTGGCCAGGGGCTGGGGAGTTCTCCTCCCCTGGTTCTCTTGGTGGAAGATCTGCCAGTGTATGTCCCCTTGGGATCATGTAATCCAGCTTGGGAAGGAAAAAACACTTAGATTTTGTCGTCATCATTGAGAACATGAGAAATGGATTTTAGATCAGAACTGGGGTGGTAAGCAATGATCTATATATTCATATTTGAAACGTTTCACTAATATGTGCCACTATAAAAAAAAACTATACCACATCACCAACAGCTACCAGTCGGGTCTGCCTTCATGCTTGCAACATGAGTCCATCCTTTCTCTATAACCAGTCCTATTGACCCAGTGTAGTGTGGGAAAGAGCAGAAGACCAGGGGAAGGAAGGTGGGGTGGTTTGGGCGCTGTACTGTTTTTAAGGTGGTCTTGATAATTTCCTCCTGAGACAGAGTCCCAGGGTAGCCCAGGCTGGTCTCACATTCACTGTGTAGCTAAGGATCACTCTGAACTCTCAGTTTTCCTGCGTCTACCTCTCCAAGTGCTAAGATTACAGGTACGTGCCACCGTGCCCTGTTCACACGATGCTGGGGTTTAGGCCCAAGGTTTCTTGCATGCGAGGCAAGCACATCTTTAACTCAGCTGTACCTCTACCCCTAAATCCTGACTTGAGTAACAAGCCCAGGAAAATGGAACTGGATCTTGTAGCCAGGAGACAGTATATATCCCATCCCTGCTCCCTCTGTACCTCCCAATCCTATATCCACGCAGGACGGATGCGGTTGGTGCTACCCCTGGGCCCACAGGCCACTTACCAGGCTTCTAGCCCTATACTCAGCATCCATGTCTGCAAAGTGGCCATCTCTCTCCAGCAGTCTGGCCGGGTGGTACCAAACAGAGAAAAGCAAACACAGAGGAAGCTGTCAGGCTCGGCACCCCTTGAGTACACAGAGGCTGCAGTCACATGTCCTCAGGCTGGACGCCCTTGGCTGGGTCATCCTGCAGGAGGCCACACTGACAGGACAGCTCTCATACAGCACACAGTTATGCTGTACAAATGGCATGGGTTTCAGAGGACATTTTTACCATGTATTAACAATAAAGTTTGTCACAAACATGGGCCTGTTCTGGAAGAGCCTGCAGCTGAAGCACACACTACGGTGGAGGGAAGGCTCCTAGAACAGGCTTATGGGATAGTACCCTCTGACATGATTGACTGTATTTTTTTTTTAATGGATCCTACTAGCTTCTCTGAGCCAGTTTCAGCTCTGCGGTGAGGGATGAGGGCTGTCTGCCATTACGAAGATACTCTGTTATAAAGTGCACCTTACACACTGTTCATCACGAAGGAAAGGTGCACTGGGCACTCAGGGTCCCTTACCTGTGCTGAGCACAGACAAATGGGATACTGTGTGTCTGTGTGTATATATGTATGCACGAGTATGTGTGCACGGATGAGTGTTTGTACATGTGTGTATGTGTGTGCAATCATGTGTACACACTTGTGTGTATGTACACATGTGTGCACATATACGCATGGTAGGGAACTTCCTTAACATCTTTGACTAGCTCCAGAACCAGGTTCTTGAATAAACCTTGGCTCTGTCCCAGGTTAACATACTTCATTGTGTCGCCTCAGGGACATCCCTCCATTAACAGTCCTCCTGGGAACTCTCATGCGTTCTCAGACCAGCTCTGGAAAAATACAAAGTTGTCAAATTGGGACTATTTTTCTGTCTGTTTGTTTTTATGAGACAAGGTCTCATTACATAGCCCCCGCTGGCCTAGTACTATGTAGACCAAGCTAGCCTCAAACTCACAGAGATCTGCCTGCTTCTGCCTCTGTGTCACCCTGCCAGACCCTGGGGCTGTTTCTGAGGTCCTAGGCTGGAGAACCAATAAATAGCCACACTGTGTTACTTGGCTGAAGAGTGTGGCCATAAACCAGGCCTGTGGATACTTTCTGTTGCCTCCTGTGCTGCTCCTGGTGTCCCCAGAACACCTGAGGCAAAGAAGTGGGCCACCCATGCCCAAGGGGCTCAGCTGAGCTCACAACACAGCTGGAGGTCTCAGAGCTAATCTGTGGGGTCACCAGGGAGCAAAGGCAAGCAGTCTGGACTGGATTCTGCTGAGCTAGGACAGGACAGGTGACATTTGTCCTTGTACACAGGGAACAACAAACACCTAGGTAGAAGCAAACAGTCTTTAATCAGTTGGGAACAGCTGTTTGACAAACTGCTTTCCTCAGAGAAGACCCGCCTCTGGGAGGGTGCTCGCTAATTAGGACCCTGGGTGGCTCCTTTGAGGGAACTCCAGCTGGAGAATGTAACTGTCAGAGTTCCAGGGTTACTTGCTGTGTGCACCAAGGGTGGGTGGGAGAGGACTGTCACACAGGGCCTCCTAGAGACTGAAGCTGGCCTCAGAGGGCAGCCATTTCCCATTTCCGGGAGAGTAGGAGGGCAGGAGCAAGGCACAAATGAGAGCAGGAGTTGCAGAAAGCAGCCTCCTTGATGCAGTCACAGAGACAAAGCCAACTCTCCAAGTCAGCTCTGACTGGAGCAGACCACAGCTTCCTTTTCCCTCAGTGGGGTACCAGAAGTCACTTCCATTCTCAAGAATCCCCCATCTTTACATAACCTCTGTGCTCAGTGTAAGAAAATACAAACCATAGGGCCAACTTCAGAAAAAAAGTGAAGAAAACGGAGGATTTTTGAAGATGCACCCTTTCCATCCTTTTAACCAAAAACCTGAAGCTTTTCTTACTTTACTGAAGTAATTTACAGTTCCCAGGTCATGTAAGTTAAATACCGCAAAGGGCTGTACATAGTTCCATGCCCTTGAAGGGGTCTTTTACCTGCTGGGCTGTGAGCATGAAGTTATTAGGCCTTCAAGTGTCCCTGTCTTTGGCCTCAGGTCCCTTGTACGTGGGAAATGGGGGTCTGCAGATTGGCTTTATGGTCTGGACCTATTGTGTTCCCAAGACTATGTCGATTGGCTTAATCCATACAACGAGAATATTTTGATGTCACTGAAAGAGGTTCTGAGGGAAATGTCGGCAATGGGCAGGGACCCAATCCTGAGCATTGCTGGACCCGGGGCTCACACCAAGGGGGCCTTAGAGGTGGGCCTGGTAGCACTCCCAGACCAGACAGCAGCAGTTGCTATTTCCCTCATTCCAGCTGATTAAAGGACACCAAGAGAACAACTTACTCCTTAAATTGCAACAACAAAGGCTTGCCTTCTCTGTTCAATCAGAACAACACGGCTGCCTGATTCAAATGCTAATAGTGGGGCCAGAATTGGTCCCTAAATGAGGGAAACACTCCCCTCGGACACCACCCACCGCCCCACAAATGACCAGCTAGTGGCTTCTTTGCCACCAGAATCTGTTAAGCTTCTCCCAGGTTTATGCTCTGTTAAATGTTTCATGGGAAACACCCGAGTGGAGGGAGAACAGATTTCCCAGAAGGGTCGGGGGAGGGGAGGAAAAGAACTTGGTCTCCTTTAGGACCGACCTCCTCCGGTGCTGCAAATACAAGACATTTTAACAGGTTGGATGATGCTTTTGGATGCTTCAAGGAGAAAGACCACAGCCTCAGTTTATCACAGACTCTGATGGCCTCTCCTCTGTGGACTCTGAATGAGGGACTTGGTTTCTCAGTAATCTGGAAGCCAGCTTCCTATCTGTCATGGACACTGGTATACACAGCCTGCAGCACTTGCCCTAACTCCTTGTTTTCTTGAGCTCACAGGGTAGGCCAGTCAGACAGCCCAAGTTCAACTCTCAGGTGGCAACTCAGGCTAGGTCCTAGACCTTACACTGGGATTCACTGCATCCTTGGTCAGGTTGAGGACAGTGAGGGTAGTGCCCGAATCTCCACGCTGTTACAGAAAAGTGCATGCAGCGTGCAGAGGCTGCCTCTGACTACAGTACAGCGTGTTTGCTGGTAAATATTTGCCGTACCTCTGCCTTGTCTATTACTGACAAACTATGTGCACTTTGACCTCACACACTTTCACTCCGCTTAGCAGTTTGGTTTCCAGGGAACAGTGCCCAGAGGCCCTGCTGGTGCACAGGTAAGTTTGCGTCTATCCTAGTAGCAAGTGCTCATGCTAGATTGAGTACTGCATTCAAGTTCACACCCACCAAGGAGCTTCCGTGATCCCCACCCTGGGTAGAGGATGAGCCCCTGGCCTCACCTCTGCCTTTTCCTTCCCGAATTCCTTCACAGCCTCACAGAGTGCCTGAGCCTTTGGTTCTATCTTTTACTACAGTAGGTTCTCCCTGGTGATTGGATCATACGTTCGATCTTCCTTTTATAAGAGGCTGTTTAGTAATGACAATCCCTTGGTGTCTATGTGAAAAAACCAGTTAAGGTGACCATAAAGGAGTCATAGAAGCACTCGCTAAAGTCCTGACCTATGTAGGCCTACCTTAGTCAGGCTTGGTATGGGTGGGGGGTGGGAGGGTTAGGAAGGAAGCAAAGAAGAAAGAAGAGAGGAAGAGAGAGGAAGTGAGGGGGAACCTAAGTACAGTGATTCACATCATAATCCAGTGGGATTTTGAGTTTGGGCTGCAGAGTGAACCCCAAGATCCTGTCATAGGGGAGGAGAACTTACCTTCTGGAGAATTCCATGTTAGCAAGGGAGGTGAAATACATCTGATACAACCGGTTAAGATACATCTTGCTTTGGGAATCCGTCTTTGCCTTACACATAATCTTGTTCTGTAAGATGCATTTCGCCACTATGAGCACATCTTTTATGCTCACAACCCACCTAGCAGCTAGCATTTGAATTTGTCAAGCATGGGGACACAGACCCCTTTGTGAGACCCTAGTACAGAGTGGCAAGCAAGCCACATGTGGTAGCTGTCCCCCTGTCCTGTTTTTCATGATGGTTAAGTGTTAACACGTACTCTATCTTTGGTTTATAGTGCCTGTGGTGTGTGGGCATTTCACCCTCGCCTTCCTCCTCAGCCTCACATTCCTGGAGGTGTGATGTCAGTACTTAAGCTATTCTGCCTTCATCTCAAAAGACAGCACCAAGAGATGGACAACTGGGAGCTCAAGAGAGCCTGTACCACCCCGACACTGGAAAGAACAAATGTCATTATTTTTTATAACTGCTAAAGGTAGTAGCTAGTGCGTTGTTTAGGATAATATTTTAAAAGCCTAAACACACTGTTATGAACTACACCACTCTTTAAAAAGTGAGAAAAATATTAATATTTATCTAAATATTTACTTTTTTCCCCCAGTGGTAGAGTATCAAACCCAGGACTTCAAGCATGTTAAAGTTCTATCTAGTCAAACACTGGGCTATATCCCCACACCAGAAATTGCTTTAAAAACAACAAAAGCAAAAATTATATACAACTAAATTCAAAACGATAGACTAGTAGGTAGGAGGATGGTCTAAAAATAAGAAAATAGACCTTGAAATTCTGAGACTGTGAGGCTGGAGGGGAAGGAGGGATGGAGGAAGTATCTGAGCTGGGGGAGCATGGGGGAGCGTGCTAGTCCCTAAGCCTGAGATAGACCACACACACACACACACACACACATACACACACACGTATATATACATATATACACATATATGTATATGTATATATGTATATATACGTGTGTGTGTATGTGTGTGTATGTGTGTGTGTATGTATGTATCTAAATAGGCATTCCTCACTGAGACTTTTTGACCCTTTGCTGGGGTTAAAGTTGTTCTCAAGGCCCAACAGCTGAGAGATCACCCAAAGATGAGGTGGAGTCCCACAAATTCACCTCCTCGGGTCCTCGATGCAGCCTCCAGGCAGCTTCTCGCTGTTGGCACCTTTTTCTCCATTCCGTGAGCCGAGCGAGAAGACTCTTGGATGAAAACAGGAGAAGTCTTCTTACAAAGGTCCTCCGATGGGCCCTTTGCATCAAGCCTGGCAGTCATGTCCTGGCCCCTTCACCTCTGTCACCCATGACAGCCCTACCCTCAATGCAGGACTCCAGGCTGTGTCCACCCATCTCACTCAGAGAAGTGAGATGGCTAGACCCCACCTCAGGCTGGAGTACATCAGTCAGAACATCAGAGAGAAAGTGGGACATAATGAGTGGAAGAGGGGAGAGATCACATGGGCTCTGCGTGTCATACTAAGATACACATAAGCACTTCCCGCAGGGGCTGGGAGGGATGTCGAAGAAAAACTTAAAGCAACATAACTAAATGAGAAAACAAGACACAAGGTCAACAAGCCATTTAGGAGCAAATAGATCTTCTGTAGAAACCCAAAGAAGCACACAGAACAAATCAAAGATCTAACAACCACAGCTAACCCTGTTCATAGATTGCATCAACTTAGTAAAACTGATTTATAGGTAAACACAATTCATACCAAGAGTCCGACCAAGAGCTGAAGAGATGAACCTAGTTCAATACTGGAGCCCATATGCAAAGCTTGCATTTGGAGGTGCACATGGCAGTGGTGCACATCTGTAATCCTAGCATCCCTCGGGAAAACAGTGGGTGGAGTCAGGAAGACAGAAGCCAGGGGCCACACAGCCTGGAGCACATAGCACAGCAGCAGCAAGACGAGGGAGACCCAGCCACAAAAAGAACCAGCTCCTGCCAGTTGTCCTGTTACCTCCACTTGCACTCTGTGGCACGCGCGTGTGCACACACACATACACAGACAGTAAGTACATAAATAATTTTGTAAAGATTCCAGCCCAGTCTTTATAAACATAGACTAGCGTACTGTAATCTGTATGGAAAAGTAAAAACTGGAAAGAGGAGAAAAAAGCTAAAACAGAATAAAAAGGACAACAGGAAGGCTTAAGACACAGTGTCACTGATGAAGTCTGTATGACATTGGTAGCAGAGTCACACACATAAATCAGGGGAGGAAACAGATCATCCAGAATGCACCTGTGATTGCCGTACCCACGTGATAACAAGGGCACACCTTTCCTGCCAATTACACTTGAGCAAACTAGCAAAAGCACACACACCCATGGTTAAAACAAACAAACAAACAAACAAACAAGACCTCAGTAAAAAACTAGAAACCTGCCCAGATGTCCCCATCCCCACCAGCGTACCCCTCCTCCCGCCTAGAGTCAGTCTACAGCTCCTGCCTCCCCGCCACAGAACTACAACCCCTTAAGCCATGAGCCGAAATAAACCTCCATTTAGTTTCTTCAGCCAGGGTTGTTTTGTTTTTTGTTTTTTGTTTTTTCTCCCCACACAGGGGAGTATCAGCAAGAGTGAAGAGAAGCCCAGGCTTTGGCTTGCAGATCAATCCCTTTATTTATCCCATATTTAATTCTCGGGACACTCCATCCCTTGGCCTTCTTTATCATAGGAAGAGCCAGAGAATGAGGGTCTCGGGGCCTCCTGATGCAGCATAACCCGTCAGAGACAGATTTACTTCACAGGTTCTTGAGGTTAGCAGTTCTCAGAAGCAAGTGTTGTTGTGTTGTTGTTTGCTCTCTCCCTCCTCCCCCTCCCTCCCTCTTTCCCCTCACCCTTTTTCCCTCCCTTTCTCTCCCTCCTCCCTCTTTCCCTCCTCTCCTCCCTCTTCTCTCTCCCTCTTCTCTCTCCCTCCCTCATCCCTCCTCTCCCCTCTCTATCTTCCCTCCATCCTTCCCTCTCTCTGTCTCACTTCTCCTCTCTCCTCCCTCTTCCTCCTCCTTCCTCTCTTCTGTCTCTCTGTCTCTTTCTCTGTCTCTCTCCCGAGACATCTCATGGTAAACTTTCAAAAAGTGACACAATCAAAATTCCTGGAATTCTTTTATAAACAGAAAAATACTGCAAACAGAGTGGAAGGAAGAGCTATCAACCAGAGACTAAAACTCAGCTATGAAATTACGAGGAGAAACTGCATGGTCACACAGTTCAGTCCACTTGGTTACCAGCCCTCCTCCTGAGTTCAAAGAGGCCAAATACAGAGAAAATGCATGGGAAACATACAGGAAGAAAGCAAGGCCAGTGGTCTCTTCAAAGTTTAAACGCTGATTGGAGAGCATTCTCTGCACACTCCCGTACATTCTCAGTGTGTGATTGTCCCTAGGAACCTCCAGTCAAGCATTCCCACTTGCTCAGCCCAGGGCTTCTGCGATGTGAACAGCCATTCAGAGCTGTGTTAAACACTGAGGACACAGACCTTGGGGACGGAAATGCATCCTTCCTTGTAAAGTTGGCTGGCAGTTGCTCTCAGCATAATACCTGGGACACCCGGTGAAGAGGAAAAGGAAGTGGTCAAAGTCATGCTTTTTTGCAAACTTCAAAGGTCGCCCCTCCCCCCTCTTTACATTTTACTGTCTGGGGAGCTAACTTGTCTGCAGCTGTCTTCAGAGACTGTGTCCCTGTGTCAAACCTGCCTCCTCCTGGGCCCATAAACTACAGCAGGGAGGTGGGTACAGGTGTGGAAGGGGAGGAAAGAAGTGTCCTAGTGAAGTCCCTAACTCCTCCAGGAGTTGCTGAAAGCTGGGGAGGGGGTGGGGGCAGGCCTAGAGAGGTACCATGCACACACCACAAACCGAAAACCTATGTGCTGGGTTCAACCCTGTGCTACACCTGGAATGAGATAAAGATCCCGTCCCACCACACTCCACCCCAGCACAGCAGGCCCTGTGTGTGCCTCCCAGTAGAAACCCCTTGCGTGCAAACCTCTGAGCCAAAGACCACTAGAGGCAGGAGGAGCCGCCAGAGATCTCAGATGCTTCTCAGTTCAGGTTCTGAGATGTGATGGGAGCCAGCAAGCACAGGTGCTGGGTTTCCATTTCTCACCAAGAGAAATGAGCTGAAAGTAATGGGACATGGGACACACCCCTAATCCTAGCACTTGGGAGGCTCAAAGAAAGAATGTGAGCCCCAAGCCAGCCTGGGCTACACATAGTAAGCCGTCATCTCTAGACACACACACACAGACACACACACACACACACACACACAGAGAGAGAGAGAGAGAGAGAGAGAGAGAGAAAGATAGAGAGACAGAGAGAGACAGAGAGAAAGAGACGACACAGAGAGACAGACATAGAGAGAGACAGACATAGAGAGAGACAGACACACAGAGACAGAGAGAGACACAAAGAGATTTTAAAAATCAAATATGTATATTTGCCAAGATCACAGGCTTATGTGCTACTCACACAAAACACTTCGCTTTTTTTTTCAGTAGAGAGAGACTGATAACTATGGACTAACCATGAGCTGATAAGAAATGTGGATGAATTCTTGATTGTTATACCAATGTCTTGTACCAGTGTCATTTGTACCAATGTCTTGAGGCAGAAGACGGAAAAAGAGAAAACTGATTGACTTACAGCAATCTTAATGGGTTCACATAAAAGGTTACTGGGCAGATTAAAAACTAAACATGTTTACATTTTGTATACATTATTTATTATTATTATTATTATTATTTAGGTTTTTTTCAAGACAGGTTTTCTCTGTCTGTAGCCCTGGCTGTCTTGGAACTTGCTCTGCAGACCAGGCTGGCCTTGAATATTCACAGAGATCCACCTGCCTCTGCCTCTCAAATGCCACATACTACCAACACCCAACAATTTTTTATTCTTTTGAGAATTTCACATTAATACAGTGTGTTCACCCCACCCTCTATCTTTTCTCTCCAGCTCCATTGCCTGATGGCTTCTTATTCTGTAATTATTATTCTCTCTCTCTCTCTCTCTCTCTCTCTCTCTCTCACACACACACACACACACACACACACACACCACCTGAGTGTGTTCCGCTCTGCTTGTGATAAACACACTTCTGTTATGTGGGTGCTGAGGAGCCCAGCTCTGTTCCATGCTTTACCCCACAGCAAGTGCTTTACTCTGTGAGCTACTGCCCAGGTCCTTCACTGGCTCTGTCATTTCCTCAGACATGTGACATTTTTCTTAATGAAAAAAGTCAGTCTGTTGAGCATTTCACCAAGGCCCTGATTCTTCTTACACAGACAGACCACAGGGTCAGAACAAACATATTTTGGATCATCTGAATCCCAAACACTCCCACATCCCCAACCCCTCCAACAACTCCTAGCCTCCCCAGCCGTGCTCTGTAGACCAGGCTGGCCTCAAACCAGAGATCCTCCTGCCTCAGGCTCCTGAATGCTGGGACTAAAGATGTGCACTACCACACCCAGAAGATCATCTGAATTCCTAGGTCTGTGATTTCTAACTGCAGGGAATCACCAGGCCACTTTCCCTTGGGGACAAGGCACGGTTCAGCTAAGACTGAGGACACGCCCACTTGACACTGAAACTGTGGCCACAGCTTATTCATCGTATCTACATGGCTTAAGCAAGAAGACATCATTATCTGCCTGGAGCGGAGTGTGACGCCGTCGCTTCAACTGAGAAGTTTGCACTTTCTGTCACTTGGAGGCAATCGGCCATTGGAAGAACTCTGTGCATTTTACAATAGCTTGAAGCTCACTGGAAGTGAGTGGCGAGTCCCATACTTTTGTGGAAATTAAGGGAAAAGTTATCAGCCTCTATTTACTCAGAAGCAGAGACACTAAAAAAAGGAAAGAAACTCCAACAAGCAGCTTATTTGAGGTTCCTCCTGGTTTTATTGACCATCTCTTTGTCACTAAATACAAACATAACAAACACCGTTTCCTGAGATCAGATGGAGCATGATCGCCGTCGTGTCTGAGAGCAGAATACCAGAAGTCCCTAGAAGCCATAGTCCCATTTGGCTTCTGTCTTTTCGGGTCATTAGTGCCATTTGTAAGATGAAGGACTACAGCACATCTCAGAGCCCTGGGATCCAACAGGGACCAGCGTGGAGTTGCACAGTATCACAGACCTACAGGGTCTGAGTCCAGGCATTTTGTCTGCCACAATTAGGTGACTGCCTA